TGTGTCTGTCTCTCTATGTCTATTTCTCTCTCTCTCACACACACATCTTCTCTCCCCCTTTTCCTTTTCTGTGCTTACAAATGCTTTCTCTCTTTTTCTTCTTTTTCCTCTCTGTCTCCCTTCCCTTGGTGACTTTCCTGGCCTTTTTTATTGGGCCCAGTGAATTTGCCCACCAGAGAACAGCTTCCCAATAAAGCTGCTATTGTGTATACTTTAACCTGGCTTTAACTTTTACCAGTGGAGGCATAACTTATCAGGTAGAAAAGTTTCTGATAAAATGTGGAGTATTATTGCTACCATATGGTCACTCAGAGGTAAAAATGCTACTTTCTTAATTATCAAATGCTCTATATGACACTTCACCATTCAAATTCTCATCCTAGATTTACTATCAGGGTTAAATTATACAAGTAAACATAATACTTACAACAGAACATTTTCAAAAGTCATGAGTTCTTGTGCTACCAAATAGGCACCAAACCGGAAACAAGCAGCATAGGAGAAATACATCATGGCCTGGGTGAAGGAGAACGTTATCCCAAATATATGTGCTTTCTTCAGAGAATTTCTGGAAAGAAGACAATTCAAATTCAGTCCATTGCTCAGTCGTTCATGCAGCTTACTATGGGTTGGCAGTGAGGCACGCAGGCGTGACAGATACTGTGGACTCCATTTCTAAATTCAGCTGGATCTCCTTTTGTTTAACTATGTGAATTTGGGACCCAGTGCTGTCTTCATCTTTACTGTAGGATTACTACATCTCAGTGTGTTGATAGAAGATAACTGACCTGGAACTCTGAGAAGAGCCTGTTGTACATTCTCAAATGAATGATCCTTCTCTTTCCCACACTGTGGGACACACAACACTGCTGCACAGGACACCTCTCAACATGTCTACCCAGCACACTCAAGCTGTGGGTGACAGGGGAGCAGGCATGTCCTTGCATGTGGGGATCTAGATGAGCTGCATATTATCAATGCAGTGGAGGAACTTCCTGAGAACTGTGCTGTGAGAAGAAGCACTGACCTGTCTGGAGCCAGGGAAGGCTCTACAAAGGATTAACATTCCAGGAATTTCTAAACAACTTGGGTGTGGAGGTGTGGGCAGGGACAGGGTGGGGATGGACAGACTTTTGACCTTCCTACTCCTGTTTAAACCCACCACTACCTTTGTTCTTGTCTTTGACACTTGGAAACTTTTCCCAGGAAAAGGGGGTCTGGCATGACTGTGACAAAGTTGTTTGGAAACACTTCAGTAAGGTCTAGTTCGTCCCTTGTCCTAGAGGAGAAGCTGGGACTCAAAGGTTGGTCTTGTTCATGGGCTGGTCACCCTTTAGAGCCCTAATAGTACTCCTGGAGTAAAGGGAGAATAGAAGGTCTCCCCCAGGTTAGAACGGAACAGAAAATATCCTCAGGAGCCCCCTCAGGTTCACACAACACCTCCAATTTCATGTTCACAGAGAACCTTCACCCCAAATACAGCAAATAGCAGAGTCATTATCCCAACTGGACACCATTAGCAGCTGTTCTCTTCCTTCCCTTCCCATGTGTCACCAGCCTTCATGGGTTTATGTCACAGATGCTCCTGACTAAGCTCAGGTCCTTTCATTTCTCTCTTGACAATCTCCGGTGTTCCTTCTAGTACTTTCTTCATGTACATTCTGCCTTTTGGCAAAAGCAGTCCTGAAAACTGAAGTCCTGCTTGGAAATCTCCTCAGAGCCCTGGCCCACTCACTCTTTAGGTGTCTTACCTGTATGGTACCTGCAAGCTCTGGGCATACATAGTTTCAAACTTCTGCTCCCGAGTCAAAGAGACAACAGTGCGGAAGTTTTCAATTGCTTCTGTAGCAATCTGTAAAAGATCACCCATTATCAGGAGAAAAGTCAAACACAGGAACTAACTTGAATTCTACAATTAGTAGCATTAACCTACCATAATTTATTGTTCATGTATCCTTTAGCCTTACCAGTAGCTATCTTCCGTATGAAGAATAGTGACTTATGAGACTGAATCTTGTACTCTAAACAGAAAAAGAAACTAGAGCACAAAGCCATGACACACTTTTCTAAAGCCACCACATCTTTCATAGAAGTCTGTCCTCTGTGGAGGTGATACTTATGTAACTTTGATTATGATACTTATCCCTTATTCTCTGTGTAACTTTCATTCATGATAACTCAATAAAGTTTGAAAGATGCTCAAAGAGTAAAGGAAATGATGGATAATTACATGCAAGTGTATTTTACAAAGTAGTTTATATGTTTTTCTAAACATACACATCTTAAAATAGAGACTGAATTTTATCTTTTGCCTAACCAATTTCAACAGTATTTTTGAAACGTATTTAGTATATATTAATAATAAGTTTTTAATGGCTACTTAACATTGTAGCCAGGTAGGTATTACTAACAAAGGCTTCAATTATTTTACAACAAATAACATTGCAATAAATACTGCTTTGTACATAAACATTTGCTTGTAGTGAATGATTTCCTTAGAAAACATTCTTCATAGTGAGAGTAATAGGTAAAGGAGAATAAACTGTCTTTTAATGAAGACATTGTTTTGTTATTGCTTTGGTTTCTAAGACAGGGTTTCTCTGTGTAGCCCTGGCTGTCCTGGAACTCACTCTGTAGACCAGGCTGGCCTCGAACTCAGAGATTTGCCTGTCTCTGCCTCCCGAGTGCTGGGATCAAAAGTATGCACCACCACTATCTTGCTGCCGAATGTATTACCTTTTAATGAACATAATATATCCATTTTTTCAAGAGCTTTTTAAATATTTAGTTGTGAATTTCCTGCCACCAAAGTTATTTAGCTAGGACAATATTCCATCACCACCTGTTGCATCCTTTGTAAAGGGATGTAGAAAGCCTCAAGTACATTTAGGACACACAAAAGCATTTCCACCTGTACCAGCCATGGGACATAAACACCATGCCTTCTTGTTAGTTCATCTGAAAGGGGGAATATAGATCAGAAGGTTCCTAAAGTTCTTTTAAAATTGCATGTCTTTAGAAACGAAAATTAAGATACTGGTTAATATACTATGTCTCTTTGTGGTGGTTTCACTGATTAAAAAAAAAAAAAACGATTCCATTAAAGACATATTCTAGTAACCTAGTGCAATTTGCTACTTAAAAGCCATATTTGTGAAATCTCATTTATGCCTCACTGAATCTTACAGAAATTATCTTACTTCAATAATAACAACAAATATTTCATAGTAAATTAAAGTCAGTTTGAAGACCAACTCAAAAAAAAAGAACACATTTCTTTCTTTTTTTTTTTTTATTTTGTTTTGTTTTTCGAGACAGGATTTCTCTGTGTAGCTCTGGCTGTCCTGGAACTCACTCTGTAGACCAGTCTGGCCTCGAACTCAGAAATCCACCTGCCTCTGCCTCCCAAGTGCTGGGATTAAAGGTGTGCGCCACCACCGCCCGGCAAGAACACATTTCTTAAGACACTTATTTTAAAAATAAAGACTAGTTTTCTCTGATCTAGAGCCACAAAGAAAGTAATTAGGAAAAAATATTTTATAAACTCTGTACATTTCAAAAATAATATACAGTGACTTTTTAAAAGTATGTCTGGTAAGAAGTTGGAGGAGATAGTCACCTTTAATGAAATTCCCCAAAGACAATGTCATTTATACACATCAGAAACATTTTTAATTATTTGAATACCTGAGTTATTCAAATGCCTGCAATGTACTAGGGGACAGAAAGAGGTGATCTCAGGAGTTCACTGGCTGATCAGCTTAGCAAAAATGACGAACACAGTTCAGTTAAAGATAAAGATGAACTTTGTAGCAAAGACAAGGCAGAGAGCGATAGGGCAGAATGTCAGAAGTCATTTTCTGGCTTCAGTTGACATGCACATAGGCATGCATACTGCCACGCATGTACACAAACATGTACACAACACACACACTAAACAAACAAACAAACAAATAAATACCTCTACCTGTCAATTATAGTGTGAGGTTTTCAAGAAATATTTCCTAGTCTTCATTTTCTAGGGAAGGGAGTGCCGTGCTTGTGAGGGCTTCAGAGTGTATGTGCAGCCTAATACAAATGAGAGCTGGGAGCTCAGAGCTTGCTTACTGTGTGAACCCCAGTCTCTCTGCAGTGCAGCCTCCTCATCCTGATGCACAATGAGGCAGTTAGGGAATGCATTAAGTAGCAGACATAGCCTCACAACTTCAATAAAGACTCAGTCAAACTATCAAGAAGGACGACGTTTTAAGTTCAAAGAAAAGTAAATAGCGATGCTTCCTTGGAAGGGGCTGTGTGTGTCTAGCTGTTCTAAAGAAAAGAAAATATGTTTCTCACAAATAAACTTGTACTTCTCTTTCTGCCCCAAATAAACTAAGCTTTGATTAGAATTTAATAGTAAAAGGATAAATACATATACTATACAAAACGTGTTCATTAGCCCCAAAAATGTGATAGAACACTGCCAAGCCCCAACCATAGGTACAGTAGAGTTTATCTGCATGTTCTGACATCACACCACAAAGACAGGAAATGAGCAGGACCTCACATCTGCTCCAGGACCTCAAACCCAAAGCACACTGCAAAGTGTAGCACAGTATGTGTGCCTTGGTTGATGCCAGACCATAGCTAGACCCAGAGTTAGCTAGTTCCCAGTGATGGTTTCCTGGGACCTCCTCACCAGAGGTTCAACTCCACAGTCCTTGGCTAGGAAACACTAATGCTACTCAGAGCGTTTCCCTGAAAGAACGGATGAAAACAGAGCCCCAAATCTGAGAATACACAGAGACAACATGTCTTTAGTGTCTTTGAGACTGTCCTCAACCTTCATATATTGGGGTGCTTGGCTCATACACACCTGGCTTACTGGAAATCACAGCCCTCTCACCTGCTGGGATCCCTGCTGTTTCTTGGTATCTGGAATGTCAGTGGGCAGCCCTGTTCTGAGCTCACATTTCTCTCATTCTGCTATCTGATGCTCCACTGTAACAGAACTGGGATTTCAGGCTAATTGGAGTACCACAGGTTCAGTTGCAATCCTGGATCCAGGAGTGATGGGCTCTACAGTAGTGAGGCCTAGCCTGTGTGTCCCGTGGCCTTACCCGTAGCATGAAATAATAACAGAGCAAACCTGATAGAGTTAGTGTAAAGAGTAAAGCACTTTCCAGGAAACTAAGTAAATGCCACACGATGTTGAGCTATGACCAATAAATAAATAAATAAATAAACAAATAAATAAATAGCTGAGCGTGCAGAACAGAGTGAGGGCAAGGAAGACAGATGTGACAGGAAGAGGGGGGACAATGAAGTGGAAAAGGAGAGGTAGTAAAGGACCTGTGCTGTCTGCAGAGCTCCAGGGGGCTTGAGCAGGGATGTAAATGGTCTGAGGCAGCAGAATAATCCAAACTGACTAGATTATGTAATCCAAAATGGAGAAGACAGTAAGCTTGGGGTTTTTTCCACTTTGAATCTATCTCCCCACTTATCCATAATAAAATGGGCCCACTTTCCTGAATCCAAGGGTGGCTTTAAGCTTGCTTGAAAGAATCAGGGAGAACGGAAGTTAGTGAGAGTGTTCTGGCTAGTTTTATGTAATTTGATGTAAAGTAGAGGCATCAGAGAAGAGAGAGCCCCAATTAAGAAAATGCTTCCATAAGATCCAGCTGCAGGCAAGCCTGTAGGGCATTTTCTTAATTAGTGATTGATAGAGGAGGGCCCAGCCCATCGTGGGTGATGCCACATCGAGGCTGGTAGTTCTACAAGAAAGCAAGCTGACCTAACCATAAGAAGCAAGCCAGCTGAAGCAAAGAAACCATTATTAAAACAGGGAAAGAAAAGAGGTAAAGAGGAAAGAAGAAGAGAGCTGGATAAGAAGAAAGGGATCTGAAAACAGCAGCCCGAAACAAAGCCCTGAAAAGGAGGTGTCCCTTTTTGAAACTAAGGATATGTTTCCACTTTTCTTCAAATTCTAATCTTGAGATAAGTGTAATAAACATTGCTATTAAATGAGTTCCAGGACAGCCAAGGCTACATCCGTCTTGAAAACCATTAAAACAAACAAGCAAACAAACAAAAATTGTTATTGACTAAGGAGATGGCTCTGTTGGTAAAGGACTTGCCTTGCTGTGGCAGAAATTTCACTGTCCAATCTGGGAGGCCTGTGATTGGACAGAGAAAAGGGAGGCGGAGCTAAGGGTGGCAGAAAGGGAGACTGGAAAAGAAAAGCAGGAGAGAGGAGAAAGGCAAAAAGGCAGCAGACATAGACCCTTGTGGTTTCAAGTAAATAGGTAGACATGAAATCTAAAAGTGCTTTCCAAGGGTAGCTTTCACGTCTACATGATGCCCCCAGAGTGATAGTTAACATTTTCTTTGCTGTTTATTATTGAGCCAATAAAGTTTAGAAACCCTAAAAAAAAAAAATCTAAAGGTTAGGAAAATTGGGATAACTTTCTAAATCGTGCAGGCAAATTTATTGAGAATATATATATATGTGTATATATATATATACACATATATATATAATATATATATGATTATATATAATAAATATATATAATTACATGTAATAAAATAATACAATAATGTAATATATATATGTATATACATACATATATATATATTTATACAAATCCATTGGTTAATAACTTTAAGCATCGATTTACTGTGTTATTGGAAGATGGGACAACTGGGGAATTATGGCTATGAAGGAACTAGCAGCTCCAGGGACAAGGGAACCAGAGCTGGGAACACAGTGACCAGTCACTGTGGGCAGGGGGTGGGGGAGAGACAGAAGGCTGCGGAACCATGCTGGACCTGAGCGGTGCTAGCAGTAGTGTGGGAACATGGCGGAAGCCAGCTGGATCTTCTCTTTTCTAATACCTCCAGCTACACCTTGCAAGCACAAGGGTCCGAGTTTGACCTCTAGAACTCAGGGAAACATCTCAGCTATGCTTGGTGGCATGTGCTTGTAATCCTAGTTCTGGAGGCACAGGGATGGGTGCAGAGATCATATCTCAAACATGAAAAACCAACCATGTCTCAAAAAGCATACTTGGACCAAACTTAAGAAACATTGCCTAGGGTGTTTTCCCACACAATATGCACACACATGCATGTGCACTTTTACATACATGTGCACCCATAAGAACACCATACACACATACACACACACACACACACACACACGCAACTGGAAAGAATGTTCTTTTTATTTAGTGATCAGTCATATTTCATTTAACTTACCTTTCCAGAACCTTCTAGTTCCTTCTTATCTTTCAGTGCGTGTCCAGACAACATTTTCATCTCAATCACTCCTGCTATAGCAATGATGGGTACAATTGCTAAGAGTAAAAGCGTCAACTGCCAGCCATAGATTAGGGATATGATAATTCCTGTTCCAAGATTTGCTATGTTCTGGGCAATAATAGCAAGCCTTGACCCTGTAGCCTAAAAATGAAAAGTGGAGACATGGTTTGTATTATAAAATACATTCCAGTATATTTTTAAGAATAAGAACTGCTTCTCATGAAAATCTTCTCACCTATGAAGTAAAAGGAAAGATGCTCTTATACAACGTTTTTGGTTTCTAAAATGAAGATTCCCCATGATTTACAAGTGTAGAATAATAACCCAAAGTGCCAGTTTATATTTCCATAATCTTTCACTACCAAAAAAACTCTTCATGCACCAAAGCATGACGACTAAAGCAAATCAGAATGTAAAGATCTAACCATTATAGTAAACTGGGAATAGTGGTCATCTAGCTATGAAACTGTTTATAATTTTATACACTTATTTTCTTGGAAAAATGCAGATCTGAAAGTTCTGGAACATAATTTACAGTAAGCAGAGCCTTCGGGTAGGATTCTGAAGGTTTCATGCCACATGGCTGTCACTCCTATGCAACTCAAAACTAGCAGTGAATCTAGTCAGTGTAGCACACCTCCATGCAGTGCAGCCCACGACAGGTACCTTGTATGATCTAGCATCCTTATTCTGCCCTCCAGATCCAACTTCTCTACAAATAGCACGCGTCCTTTACCAGTCCTAATTTTTTTCACTTGAACAAGACTGGCTGGTCTCAGTAAAGATTACCATGTGTACTCTAGGCTGGCTAGTGACCATCTCTGTCCCTTTCAACAAATCTCTCCCAACTTCAAAACTGAGCAGATCTATTGATTAGTAACCAAAGATTCCTCTCCATTCTGAATTCTACACCAGCAAAGCTTCCCACATCATTTAATAGCTGTCTGACATAATCAGTAGACTGAGACGTAGTGGGGAAAGCACTATGACTCCCAGAAGCCTTTATATACTTTAAGCTTTTAGGGAACTGAAACAGGGCTGAAAGCGATAGGCCGGATACCACAGTGTAGCTATTGGTTTTGGTGTAATCACCAAACTTACAATGAAGCGACCCTTTGCTAAACTGGGCACAGGGCATAGGTCAAAAGGTACAGGGGTGTGAAAAGTCAGCTTTCTGTTTGCACATTTCGTGTGAAAGTGAGAGGAAGCAGCTTAGCCTCTAAGGGATGCTTCTTTTGTCAAAGTCTACAATCCTACACAGAAGCAAGCCACTGAGGGACAGAAGCACCCAGCACACCTCCATGGGCACAGCAGAGACAGGGCTCTGGCTTGTAAGCCTTTAGGCATTTGGAGGTCTTGCTTTGAACTACAAACTATCATTAAGATAGTTCCAGAGATGACAAATTCCTTGATGTTTGGCTTTTCTATTTTGCAAAAAGTCTTTTAAGGATGTCTCCATCTGTGGTCGCTCTCTCTTCCCCTGAAGACCACATCTATCAGGCTTTCTGTCCCACCACACTTGACAGTCCATAGGACAGCCATTAGTACACAGGGCAAATGTCCAGCTGTCTCGTCACTTAGAACACTTTCTCAGTTTCACTGCCAGGACACCATTATTCTGTGTCTTGAACCCCAGTTCTCCCTGTTCTCATCCTCACATCCCTGAGACCTCTGGACTCAAGACTTCTTCACATAAGATTTCTTGACCATCTTTTCATGTCCTTGAAAGCTACCATCTCACTGAAAAAAGTCTACAACTGAGTATTTCCAAATTAGGCTTCTCTGCTAAACTCTAGACACATAAAATGCCTTGCTTCTTTAACATGTCCAGCTGGTCATCTAATGTAGGCATCATGACTAAGTCATACACAGAGTTCTCAATTCTTCCCCAATTCTTGTCCTCCAATAGGATTCCAATTTCATTAAAGAACAACTCCATCTTTTTATCAATTTGTACAGGCCAAACATTTTACTCAACAATCTTACCTCTCAAATCAACCATCTAATCTCATCAGGAAATTCTGTGGACTATACCTTTAAAGTATGCTCAGAATCAGCTGTTTTGTTGCTTTTATTATGACCTCTCTAGGAGACTTCTCCTAGATGACTGTAACAGATTTTCTACTCTACTTTTGCTTTTCTCAGCAGTTATTCATATAAGAGCCACATAACTCCCATTTTAACACTTAACAATAGCTTCCTATCCAATCCCTAAGATGATGCCGACCACAAAAAAATGACTTCCTTTTACTTCATCTAGTGTTTTTATCCTCTTTGCTATGAGATATATACATGGTCTAACCTCAGGTACCTGATACTTGCTCTGATTAGAATACTTCTGTAGAGGCATACTCCAGGCCTATTGTTAATATCACATAATTGGAGCTTTTCTTCCATAAACAAGGAAGCCCTTGGTCCTACCACCTCCCTCTGACCCCCACCCAGTTACCTTTTGATAAAATGATCTGCTGTGTAGATTTTACAAGAGCAAGACAATTGTCCGTCTGAGGAAGTTAAAAATTACTTCACTACGTGTCCACTTTGTTCACTTAGGGTGTATGTGCGTGTGTCTGTGTCATGGGTCTTGTTATATGTTTGCTTTAAGCAGTGAACCCCACGAAACAGGAACTCATAAGAATTATGCTGCAGTTTCATGGTTCTATGTGCACTGAAATTTGTAACTTTACTCATCACAGGTCCCACTTATTAAACAGCGGAGGATGTATATTGCCACCTTTCAGGAAGACTGAAGCATAAGGAAGGCAGAACTCAAGACAGAATCACACAGAAGACAGTGTATGCCATTCAAGTTCAGCATCGTGTGATAGACTTTTGCCATAAAATAGGCTGGAAACGAAACAGTCACCTCATCTAAAATGTCAAAGCCTAATGATTTAACTGTTTATATCACCTGGGGATTCAGGTAAGAGCATACTGTTTTATAGTTTAGCAAAGCATCTTTCTGCCCGAACTACAATTTTGATGTGCTTTTCATTTTTTTTCAGTATAATTTTAAGAACATTTTCTTTGTTTCTTACTGAACTGTAGCATCCATTAAGTTTTAGACAACAAAGATGCTACCCTTTTTTTTCTCCCAACATCAATTATAAATATTAACTGAACACTGAAAACAGAGTGACTCTGGTGGATACACCAAGAACATTTCCTTTTCTGAGTAACTATTCTTTCATATCAATCTTCCTCATGTCAAGATTGACACAGCAAACAAAAAGAAATCTATGTTATATGATATATAATTTTTGAATTTTAACATATTTGCTATATTTGTGGGATAGAACTAGTGGTGGTTTGAATGGGAAATGTCCATCAAAGGCTCAGGGATTTGGGCACTTAGTCCCAGCTGGTGGCACAGTTTGGAGAGGTTAAGGGAGGTAGAGTCTTGTTGGAGGAATTATTCCTCTTGCTGGAGGAAGGCGGCTTTGAGAGTTTAGAGCCTCCTCCCGCTTCCAGTTCTCTTTCTCTGCATTGTGCCTGCTGTTGTCGATGTGATATCTCAGGTTCCTCTTCCTACTGCCACACCTGTCTGCATGGCTTACCCTTATTCCTCTGGAACTTTAAATCCAAATTACTTCTTCCTTTTATAAATTGCATTTGGTCACGGTTTTTTAGCACAACAATAGAAAAGTAATTAATACAGATAGCTAGTTGCAGTGTCTTTAAAATGGTGACCATTAACACGTGTTATCAAGAACTCAATTGTATGATAAGCCTAAAATAGAACTGAATCCAAAGAAAGGGAGCACATACCCCTTTCACTTGAGCAGCATCGTTGGCAAGCCTGGTGGTCAGTGCTCCTGTGGTGTTTTTAGGGTCATCAAACCAGCTCACATCCTGTGGCAAAAAGAGATTTGTTATCTTGAAGTCCTACTTACAAGACCTTAGCTCCAGGAGGACGGTGGCAGGGACACTTTTGTTTAGCTCACACATCCTCTGCATTTGGCTTTCAGACAAGAAAGGGACTTAAGACACAAACAAAAATAGATTATTTCCTCTGTCTTCATCTCAACATTGTTTAAAGCACGACTCTAAGTGTTGAACAATGAACACTGATGACAAAGTTGCTGATGTCTTCAAGACTTCCTTCTAGAGCTGGAAGGCACAGGAGAGTGAGAACATACTATCTCAGACAGTAGTAACACGATGGGGGGAAAGAGCAGGGTGAGAAGGACAGGTTGTTGGGAAAGGTGCTGTTTTACAGAGTAGGGAAAAGACAAGGGAAGTCCTTCCAAGGCAGCATGTGAACAGAAACCAAAATGAAGGAAGGAAAATGAAGGAAAGAATCTAAGAGGAGAAAGACATCCTGCCTACAAAGAGCCTGAGGCCACCACACTTGATCTGCTCACACAGAAGTGAAAAAGCTGTGAAACCCTGTATGTAGCTTAATTTGTCCTACTGGGGTTCCCCTGAGACTTTCCTTCTCAACTTTTGTGCAGTTTCCTACAGTGCCCTGAAGATGACCTCTGTGATGTGGGTGGGGGGTGTTTCCCACAGATGGCCTCTGGCATCAGTAAAGACTATATACAGACTTTCCCCTGAAGGATCCAGGCTGTCTCTAGATTAGGGTGTGGATGTAGGAGTTGAATCAAGCTAGGAGGCTGATGCAACATTAAACAGACTGAAGAGTCACTGTAGAGAGAGAGAAAGAATAGGTATGAGGTAAGCCTGTTTGGAAATATTAACATCTGAAACATTTATTAATATGAGATGAGAAAAGATAAACCAGCAGATAGTTAATTCTAGTTAGAGCAGAATAATAAACTGATTTAAAAACAAATAAAAAAGTCTAGATTAAAATGCACATGCAGCATAATAAGAGATCTTATTAGTAAAACTTCTTATGTTTTCCTATTTTATATTTATTAGTAATAGACTGTTTGTGTTGGATACATGAACTTGCCATGGCCCATGTATGGAGATCAGAGGACGATTCACGGGAGCTGGGGTTCTGTCCTTCCACTTTGTGGACTCTGGAGATCAAATTTAGGCCACACATCTTAATGGCTAAGCTATCTCACATCCTCATATATTTTAAAATGAACATACTGCAATTCTTAATTATGAATTTATGCCTGTCACAAATAGGTTTAGTTTCTAAGACATGACTTGAATTGATAATTTGTATTAACAAAGTAATTAATTTTTTTATTTTGAAAAGCTAGAAAATAAAGGGCTCTAACCTTTTATAGTCTATATAATTGACATTTTAGTAAGTCCTAGTCCTATGTTCCCCCACTGGCATGTGACAGCCTTGAAGACCATTCAGATTTGAACACCTTGCAAATGTTAGTACTATACATTATAAACAGTGGCTTTGATATGTCTTTTCTGCTGAGCAGTTTGTACTGTCCATACTTAACCATCATCCACCTAGCTCTCAAAGGATAATGGACTTGGTAGTTAGTCTGGAGGCTGATGGGTAATGGGGCTTTTAGTGCTGTACCAAGGTCAACTTTGAGATTATTTAAGTAGAATCTAGCTATGAATATGGCTTAAAAGCTTGTGATCCCCAAACCTTAGCAGATAAAGTTCAATACTATGCTCAGCTATACTGCAAGTTTAAGGTAAACTTAGGTACAAATGACCCTATCTTAAAGACAGCAAGATGGATGTGGCTTGACAGGAGAGTCCAAGAAGAGGGACTCCCATAAAATAGTGCCCTCTCAGCCATCAGGTTCTGTTTCAACTATGACTATCATTAGTTAGCTATTTCTACAAAGACATAAGTGATAGTAGGTAGCATGGAAAAGGATTGTCTTCTGGAAATTTGAACACAAAACCTGGTATTTCTCACTAGTTTTTTTTTCCAGTTTGGGGATTGAATTGGGGCCCTATGGATTCTAGGTTCTACCTCTGTGTTACATCCTAGTTTTGTTGGACAGCTTCTGGACATATCCAACCTATAGCCCATGAGTCTCAGGTGTCCTACGATGCTATCAATGTGATTCAAAAAGTTTGTAAATAACAATATCACATTGTAATGTAAAAAACTTGGACACTTCTGCTAGTAATTTTAACAGGGAAGTTTAAATGTCATATACAACATTTTTATGATTGCTAAAGATTCTCACTTTGATTGGGACTGCTAACATTATTGTCAGTGGTTCAGGACCTGAATGTACAGAATATCATCGGCACTCATATTAAGTCACGATGGCTAATAACATTGTCACTTGGGTTACACTATTTTAGTCTTGCCTCAGCAAAGAATCTTGACAGTGAGGAATGAGCCATAAAAATGAATCTGAATTTGGGCAAGAAGAGTGCAAAAGATCTCCAGGTACACAGTCATGACAAAATGTTCTGAGTACACAGGAGAGAGAAGATAACAGAGGGTATAAGGACATAGAAGGTTCTTTCTAACATTTCTCAACCTTTGGGCTAAGATAAAGGATAGAGGACCACTTCTGCTTCCATTGCCTCTTACTGCTGAGATAAAAAGGCTGGTGCAGAATCATCAGGAGACACACTTGTCTCAACATAGTCTAGTTCCTCATACCAGCCTGCAGCAAATAGTCAGCAGGACCTTATGTAAACGGAGGCTGAGGGTGACCAATAAAAGATCTCAATCTAAGCACCCTACAACCTGAGCACCTACAATCTGTGTCTACAGAGCACAAAAGAGGCATCGTACTCACCCCAGGTACAACGTACCTGTCTCAGCATGGATTTGAAAACCATGTATCGGAGTCGCTTGGTGAGGATCTCGCCAGCTTTGCCAAATGTGAAGCCCTGAGAAGAACGAGAGCATGTCACACTGAGCATGTCACATGGAGCATGTCACACTGAGCATGTCACACTGGTCAGGGACCAAAACAGCAATTACTCAGTGAGAATCAAGACCTGAGAGTCCTGAGCAGGACGGGAGTCTCCTGCCCTCAGCTGTGCTCCCTGCCTGTTCCTTAGGTGACCAGTTGGGCACTGGGCTACAGTTTCCAGCACTGGACTGTGTTTACACAGAGGAGGTGCATGGAGCCACTGACTTCTTAATGTGGGTGTGCAGCCATGTGACTCAGACTTGCCAGCATATCTAGACTGTGACTGAACTGTCTTCACTCCCTCTGCGTCACCATCCCAACTGTCAAAGCAGAAGTGACCAGGTAAAGACTGCTTCCCTTCCAATCTCCTCCAGATTCTCATGGAGCAACTGTACATTTTCAAATACCCGTGACACTCATTTAGTGTCTCATTTAGTGTCTCATTTAGTGGACTAAGGTCAAGTTCCACAATGAATCTTTTAACTATTTAGTGAAGAAACACTGTTTTTTGTTTCGTTTTGTATTCCTAGCACATTAAGAACAATGTATTAGAATGAGTTAAAGACACCAATTTAGTTTTGCTAAGAGTATTCACACAAGGGCTGTTAAAATAGTAATATATTCTTAGAACATTTCAATAAAGAACCTATGTAGTTTTAACTGAAAATGACATATAGAATAATCATTGATGTATTCAGTAATTGATTGTTGACCTTTTTACTCGGTAAGTAGTTATATAATAACTCAAATAAGTCTGAATACTTTGTCACACAAACTCTCTCAGTTATGAAGAAGCAACACTTCACCCATTTTACAGATAAGAAAACAGCTTAGACAGACTAAACTGCTGGACACATAACCATGTGTCTATGTGAGTCTTAAACCCATGGTTAACACCAGCATCCATGCTGTACGCCTTGCCACACTGCACTGCAAGGACATTGAGTCCCTTTGCAATTGCATTTCAGCCAAGTGCTCTGCAGACTACAAAGTACCTTGTATATGTTTCTTAGGGGTTTTAGGAATGTCATTTTCCCATTACTGACTTTTTTTTCCTTTTGTAACTGCTGAATGAGAAGCTTTTGAAATCTTTAAAAATCAATGTGACCAATGAGGGAGTTTTATTTATTTATTTGTTTGTTTGACTGTTCATTTGTTTTGGAATATAGGAAGATACTTCTCTGACCACTCCAACTGACCAACAGGAAGTATCCAAGGTTTACCAGGAAGATTATACTTCAGTTCTCACTTTCCATTTCCATACCACACAGAACAATCTGTTCAGTGTGATTACATCACTGTTTCCATTGGATGGGAAAGAGAAGGTGAGGATAGAGTCAGAGGATGACAAATAATCCGTCTCTCATTGTTCATGGTATAGGAGGAATGATTTCATGAGGACCAATACATATGTTTATAAAGCTACCCGAGCAAATGAAGTGAAAATAAATATTTACCTGAAGAAAAAATGTAATGAATGAAATGATCCCAAGGATCAGAAACAATAAGGAAAACAAGTTGCTATTCTCCCGTTTGGTTTCAGGGGGGTCGTATCTTGTAAAAATCTATGGGAAAAATATTTGAAAGGTTGTTAGTTCAATCACTAAAAGACATCCCAAATCTTCCCTGTTTCATACATCACAGTTTAGGGATTGGAAGAGTCTTTGTACACTGGAACAGGGTTGACTTTCAGAATAAAGGCAGGCTCCAAAGCACCTGCATTTTGCTTTTGTTGGGGAAAGGGTATCTGCCATTCACAAATTCATCTAACAACTACTCTCTTTCTGGCTTTCGTGGTAACAGAGTGTATCATAAGTCATTTCCTTGTGCTGTCTGTCTGTCTGTCTGTCTGTCTGTCTGTCAGGGGTGAGCACATGTGTATGGAGGTCAGTAGTCAAGCTTAAAATAATTGTTCTTCTTACACTTTACATAATATATTTGATGGCCTGTGTTCTACAATGTATTCCATAGGATCAGATGTCTTGCCTTTTTTGTAGTATTTTCATAGCATATAAAAACTCCTTACACAAATTGGGCACAGAAAGAAATTTCTTGAATGACATATTAAACATGAGAATTAATCTAACAAGGCATATAGGTAAACTACAGGACATGTGGCTTTGGTTGTACAATGGATAGTGTTTGGTTTATGCTTCTTATGGTGATCATTTTCTTTCTGCAAAAGATTTTTAGCATTAAGGCAAATGTATCTTCAGTATGATGTCTCATGGTTCGCATTTGTCACTAAACTAAGAACATGAATGTTTAGACAGTAGATCCAGAATGTTTGCCTCCACCTTCAGGGAGCTGGTTATAGTTTGCATATGAAATCTCCCCACAAAAGGCTCATTTGGGGAATTTTATTGCTCAGCTGGTGGATCTAGTCATTGACGAGCGATTGGACTATTAGTGCTCAGGCCTCATCAATGGATGGATTCACTCTATGTGCATTACAAGTGTGACCTTGTTAGAGAAAGTATATCACATCACAGTGAGGGAAGGAATCTTGAAAAACTAGATTTCATTTCTTACTTATTTCTATCTTTCTTTTGTTTCCTGGATGCTGTGAGAAGGGCTGCTTCTGCCACATGCTCCTACCACTGTGATGCTGTACCTCAGGCTTACAACAATGGATCCAGCTCATCTTAGACTGAAACCTAGAAAACTACCTGGGATACATTGCAAGCTCAAGATCAACCTGGGTATCTTAGCAAGACCTTGTCATCAAATAATAGTAACAAAGGGTAAGGGGTGTGCTCAGTAGTGCTGCACTTGTCTAGAACATGTGAGAACATGGGCTCCATCCTGTAGCATAAAAAGAGACAAAACCCCTCAAGTGTCTGTCACAGTGATGGAACACTAACCAGTGCAGAGCTGTCTCTGTTTGAGTCTTAGGAAGTGAGAGGAGTGTGTGGGTCTGTTCATGAGCTGGCCACTGTGTATGTTACACAAAAAGTCATTATCAACCCAATCTGGCAAATATAAGAGTCCTTGTGCAGGTCAGATATGTAACAGTTCATAACATTGGCTCAGAGCTCAATGTTGGTCAGTATGAAAGACTGAGTTTCCCAGTTCTATTGACTATGTCAGTGAGTGGGTGTCCAGGGACCTAAGATAAAATCCATTAGGGATTTTAGATAGAAACTAACACAAAATATATTTACAAAATTGTCCTTCTTATAAACCAAACTTCAATGATATTTTCAACCAAGCTTGTTTCATATGATGGGAAATAGTTATATAACACATACACACATAAAACTTAAGATAGTTATTCATTTTCTAGTCAAGACTCACAA